CATTAGAAGTTCTAAATAGCAGAGTAGAGGAAGCTAAGGACTGGATCAGTGAATTAGAAGACAGGGTAGAAAAAAATCAACCAATCAGAAAACCAAAAGGAAAAAACGACTAAAAAAATAGGAAGACAGCTTAAGAGAACTGTAGGAAAACTAGAAACGTAATAATATTCGCATCATAGGAGTCCCTGAAGAAGAAAAAAATGAGCAAGGGTTAGAGAATATATTCAAGGAAATAGTGAGAGAAAACTTCCCTAGTTTGGTAAAGGAAGAAGACATTCAAGTTCAAGAAGAACACAGAGCCCCAAGTAAGAAGAACTCAAACAGGCCTACACTAAGACACATAGTAATTAAAATACCAAAAATTAAAGACAAAAAGAGAATCCTAAAAGCAGCAAAAGATAAGCAACAGGTTACCTACAAAGGAAACCCCAGAAGGTGCTCAGTTGGCTTCTCACAAGAAACACTACAGGCCAGAAGGGAATGGCATGAAGTAATCAAGGTCATGAAAAACAAGGATCTGAATCCAAGACTACTCTATCCAGCAAAGCTATCATTCAAAATAGGAAGTCAAATAAAGAGCTTCCCAGACAAAAAAAAAAAAAGGCTAAGGGAATACATTAGCACCAAACCAGCACTGCAAGAAATGTTAAAAGGACTACTGTAATTAGTAGAATAAATAGGAAGAAAAATAAACCACACTAAACAATAATGGCAATAAACAAGTACATATCAATAATCATCTTAAATGTCAATGGACTGAATGCTCTGATTAAAAGACACAGAGTAGCTGATTGGATAAGAAAACATGACTCATCTATATGTTGTTTACAAGAGACCCACCTCACAACAAAAGACTCACATAGGTTGAAAGTGAAGGGATGAAAAAAATTTTCAAAGCAAATGGAAAGCAAAAAATAAGCTGGGGTATCAATACTCATATTTGATAAAATAGATTTCAAAATAATGGCCATAACTAGAGACAGAGAAGGCCACTACATAATATTGAAAGGATCTATCCAACAAGAAGATATAACCTTGATAAACATATATGCACCCAATATAGGAGCACCAAAATATATTAAAAATCTTCTGGAGGACTTCCAAAGAGAAATCGACAGCAATACAATCATAGCAGGGAACTTCAACACCCCGTTGACAGCACTGGATAGATCCTCTAGACAAAAATATTAGCAAGGAAACAGAGACTCTAAATGAAGTACTAGACCAAATGGATTTAATAGATATCTTCAGAGATTTACACCCCAAAACTAGAAAATTCACATTCATCTCAAGTGCACATGGGACATTCTCAAAGATAGACCACATGATAGGACACAAACTAAATCCCTACAAGTTCAATGAGATTGAAATCATATTAAGCATCATCTCATATCACAATGGCATGAAACTAGAAATCAATTGCAACAAGAATATGCAATGACATTTGAACACATGGAGGCTAAACACAAAATCTATGGAATGTAGCGAAAGCAGTTCTGAGAGGAAAGTTCATAGCACTACAGGCCTACCTCAAGAAGCAAGAAATATTTCTAATTGTCTAATTGACTGTCACAACTTAAAGAATTAGAAAGCTAACAAAAATAAAACCTAGAGTAAGTAGAAGGAAAGAAATAGTAAAAATCAGAGCAGAAATAAATGCACAAAATCAGAAATGAAAGAAGAGAAGTAATAACCAACACCACAGAAATACAAAAAATCGTTAACAGCTACTATGAACAACTATATGGCAACAAATTCGACAATCTAAGCAAAATGGACAAATTTCTAGAAACACACAGTCTCCTGAAACGGGACTGGGAAGAGATAGAAAACTTGAACAGACCAATAACAACTAAGGATAGGAAAGATGTAATCAAGACTCTCCCAGCAAACAAAAGCTCAGGCCCAGATGGCTGGGAATGGGGAAGGGGGTGCCAATGAGGTAAAAAAGGAGAAACATCTGTAACAAAAAATAAATAAAAAATTTAAAAATAAAAGATTCTTTTTTTTGTCTTAAATCTTTGCCATTTTTATGATGTGTCTAGCTGTGGGTCTTCTGGTGTTCATCTTGCTTAGAACTTTCTGTGTTTCCTGGACTTGTGTGACTTTTTCCTTCACCAGCTTAGGAAAGTTTTCTGTCATTATTTCTTCAAATAGGTTCTCTATTCTTTCCTCTGATTTTTCACCTTCTGATATCCCTAAATGCAAAGGTTGTTCTGTTTTGTTTTGTCCCACGGCTCCCTTAACTTTTCTTCTGCTTTTAATTTTTTTTTTTTTTTTCCATTTGCTGCTCTATTTGAGTGTTATTCTCTACCTTGTTTTCTAAATCACTGATTCGGTCTTCAGCTTCTTCTAATCTACTATTAAACCCTTCTAAGGTATTTTTCATAAGAGCTATGTCATTCTTTATTTCCTCTTGATTTTTATGCATAGTTTCTATCTCTTTATGCATAGCTTCAACGTCTTTTTTTAAGCTGAAGTAGTTCCCAGTGAGCTCTTCATAATTCTTATTAAGTTGCTTGTAGTTCTCACCAAATTGTTTGAGCACTCTTAAATTCATTGCTTTGAATTTTTTATCTGACAAGTTGCTGTCTTCCATTTCCTGTAGTTCCTTTTCTGGTGATTCCTCTTATTCTTTCCTTTGGGTGTTGTTTCTTTTAGCCATCTGGTAGCTCTATACCCACTGAGGGATATTTGGATGTGTATGCAACTCAATGTATATCAAATAAGGCTACTGTGCCTCCAAGACTGTTGTGTTGTGTGTCACCTCTTGCCTGTTGTGGATCCTGAAGGATTGACTACTGGAGGCTGGTATTGGTGTGTCCTGGTAGGTGCTGTTGCTGGATCATTTGGGTCCCTCTGGAGCTGTGTTCCCAACCTGTCACTGGTGCCACCTGTAGCTGTATAGCTCAGGCCCTGTTGGACTACCCTCCCTGCCTGTACCATGGGCAGCTAGATCATACAGTCCCTTTGGAGACCCAACTCCACACCTTTCTTGATGGTGTCTGGGTGCACAGGCCTCTTTGGTGCCCCAGCACCCCACAGGTCCTGTGGGCAGCTGTATTTCTCAGTCCTTTTGGAGACCCAGCTCTACTCCTATCTTGTGGGTATCTGGGTCGCACAGGCCTCTCTGGTGCCTCAGCATCCCGCAGGTCCAGCAGGTAACTGGATTGCACAGTCCCTTTAAAGACCTGGCTCTATGCCTATCTTGTGGGCTGCTAGGTCACACAGGCTTCTCTGATGCCCCCACACCCTGGAGATCCCATGGGCAGGCAGCTGGACCACACCAGTCCCTCTAGGGCTCAAGCTTTTTACCGCTCTGGTGGGTTGCTGGATCACCCAGGCATCTCTGTTGCCCTAGCACCCCCAGGTCCCACGGGCAGCTGGATTGCACCAGGACCTCTCAAGCCCCAGCTTCCCACTGCTCTTGTGGACCACTGGGTCGCACAGGCCTCTGTGGAACCCCAGGTCCTGCTGGTGGTGGCTGGGGAGTGCGGCTGCCCCATGGGGGCTCAACTCCTGCTCAGCCTCTGCTGTAGTTTTTGGGTGTGGGTCTCAGCTGCTGGTTTGTGCTTCTGTTGCCTGGGGATGGGTGTCTACTCCCCAGCCTCTGTTGCTGGGGGTATATCTCCACTCTAATTGGGCTACTACTGTAGGAGATGCTGCAGGACTCCTGGCCATCTGTAGCTTCCACAACCACAACTGGCACCTTGGAAGCTCCACTACTGTGCACTGGTCTGTGCTGACACAGAGGGTCCACTGGTCCCATGGTGCCAGGTGCACTGGTGGGGTCAGATTTCTGGGCTCTAGCCACGCCCACTTCCTCTTCCCTGGGAAGACCCTGGATCTTCCAAAATGGTGGGACCTCTCCACGGTGCAGGGAGAAGCACCCTGAAGAGCAGCTTACTGGGGTAGCTGACTGCTCCTTGTCCACAGCACAGGAAACTTCTGCTGCATGTATCTGTACTGCTCGGGTTTGGTCATCCACCTTCACATCCACTCACACTCTCTCACACACTCACCCTCCCTCCAGTCCTGCCCACCACCATCTGTCTCCCTGTTTGTTGACATTTTTAAATTTTTGAACTAGAGTTAGAATGGTCATTACAACAGAATCCCTGTTTTATTCGTGAGCATTTTCTTCCTTTCTTTGAGATTATGCAGTTTTAGTAGAATGTTTTCTAAATAAGTGCAATTTTTAGAGACACTTTGGTTTTAAGCTTTTATTTTTAATATTTTAAAAAATTTGTTCTTTTTATTGATGTGAGAGAGAGAGAGGAAGGGAGAGAGATAGAAACATTGATGAGAGAGAATACCAACTAGCCACCTTCAGCATGCACCCCACTGGGGATTTGGCCCACAATGTGGGATGTGCCCTAACCAGGAATTGAACCAGTGCATGGGTCAATGCTCAACCACTGCCCCACATAAGCTGGGCAGGATTAAAACTTTTTTTTTTATCTTCACCTAATGACATGTTTGCATTTATCTTCAGATAGAGCAGGAGGGAGAGAGGGAAAAGGAGAAAGAGAGAAACATTGATGTGAGAGAGACACATCAACTGGCTGCCACCCACACGATCCCAACCAGGGGGGGGGACAAACTGCAAATGAGGTACATGCCCTTAGCTGGAACCAAACCTGGGTTTCTCTGGTCCATGGGCCAATGCTCTAACCACTGAGCCAAACTGGCCAGGGCAGTTTTAAACTTTTTTAAATGCTAAAATTATAGTCTTACATGAACAACAAAGCTGGGGACAGGGTGGGGACAGAGGGGGAGGGGGAATCAATGGGGGGGAGAAACATCTGTAACAAAAATAAATTAATAAAAAATAATAATAATTAATAAATAAATAAAATAAAATTACAGTCTTAAACCAGGCACATTACTCTTCATTTAGTACTTAAAATTCACATCATTTACGAGGATACTGAAAAATCTAATCCTCATTGCAAGAATTAATCTGACTTCTCCTATCCTTTATGCCATCACTACTACAGAACTGTCTCTGAATGTGCAGAAGCAAGATCTGGGAGACGTCACCTTGGAACAGAGCCAGGCAAAGATGCAGTTGAACTGGGATGTGGTGCAGAAATCCAGTGACTTGGGTAATAACTAAGATGGGGAGGGGAAGGACACCGAGATCTTGCCATGGGAAGAGAGAGCCAGCATGGGACACAGAGAATTAAATATTTAAAAATAAAGTGTAGGGTGGGTAGGGCCACAAGGGAGAGTCCATATGAGGAGGAAGTAGCCCTGGTGGGGACCCTGAGATGTCAATCTTGGCCTTGTTTTGTAGGCCCTTCTGTGGTGGGCCTGGTCTCCATTCCAGGGATGCGAAAGTTGCTGGCTGAGGCCCCACTGTTTCTGCACCCTGAGAAGCAGGCTGTTTTGCATGAGACACACAAGGGATTACTGCAGGGAGTCTCCACTGTCCTATTCTCAGATGTCAACTCTGCCTTTCTGAGCAACAAAGATACCCAGAACCTCAGCTCCCCGGTCACTTTCATCTTCTCCCATCATGTGAGTACTGATGTGTTGGGCTGTGAGTATGGAAGGAACCTGAGTCCTGGAAACAGCCTTACTGCTCAGCTTAGCCATGGGATTCAAGGGGCCTTCCCCACAGGTGCATCATCTCCCCAGGAGAGTCAGACTTTTCAGAGTCAGCATCTCTGAGCACCAGAACCATTAGCCATCTCACACCTGTGCCCTGTTCCTACAGTCGGTGATCCCTGGGCCAAGGGAAGAGGTGCTCTGTGTCTTCTGGGAACATGGTCAGGATGGATGTGGTCACTGGGCCACCAAAGGCTGTATGATGGTGAGCACCAGAGATACCAGCAGCACCTGCCAATGCACCCACCTCAGCAGCTTTGCTCTCCTCATGGCCCAGTATGATGTGCAGGTGAGATTCCTAAGAGGAGCCATGAGACAAGGATGCTTGGAACTGCAGAGACCAGAAAGAGATGATCAGAGGCCAGCCAGTGAGAGCAGTTATATCAAGGGCCAAACTATTCTCTTCTTCTTCTGACTAGGCAATAAGGTTACTTCTGGAGGGTCACCAGGAATTGAGACTCACCCATGACATCAGGTAATGGGGATCCACATGGAGATAAAAATGAGAACTCTTTTACATGAATGGCCAGGCTTCCTGAAAGCAGAAATATTCACTCCCCCCCCAAAAAAAATGTGTTATTCCTGGTAATTTGCCATAGAATAGAATGTATTATGAAAGTTTTCTCATTTAAATATTGTATTATCTTCCTTGTTGAAAACATTACAGATGTCCTCCCTTTTTGTTCCCCCATTTCCCCCTGCACCTGGCTCCTGCCCCACACCAAAAATATTTAAAACTAAAAAGTAACAGAATGGATAACATTAAAGTCTTTTCCCTACCCATGTTTATCGGTGATCAGGGTCTTCCTTAGAAGAAGCCTGTTTCTTCTGAGACCTTTTAGAGATATTTTATGTATAAACAAGCACATACTGTGCACATAATATGCAGTTTTGTTTACACTCATACCATTATATACTTTGTTCGCTACCATGCATTTTTTTCACTTCAAATATTTAAGAGAATCTAAACCACTACATAAAGAACATTCTCATTCATCTTATTTTTTTAATTAATTAATTTATTTTTGTTACAGATGTTTCTCCTTTTCCCCCCACTGATTCATCCCTGCCCCTCCCTCCCCACCCTGTCCCCAGATTTGTTGTCCATGTCAATTGTTCATGCACACCTGCATATAAGTTCTGAGGTTTATCTCTCACACACCAACCCCTCCTCTGGGGATAGTCAGACTGTACCCCACTTCCACGTCTTTGGGTCTACCCTATTCCTCAGAGTGTTATGTTCATTATATTCCACAAATAAGTGAGAGCATATGTACTTTTCTTTCTCTGTTTGGTTTGTTTCACTTAGAATAATACTTTCCAGGTCCCTCCATGTCGTCTCAAATGATAAAAGATCTTTTTATTACAGCTGCATAGTACTCCATTGTATATATGTACCATAGCTTTTTTATCCATTCCTCTACCGATGGATTTTTGGGCTGTTTCCAGATCGTAGCTATTGCAAATAGTGCTGCTATCAACATGGGGGTACATATATTCTTTCAGATTGGTGTTTCAGGCTTCTTAGGGTATATTCCTAGAAGTGGGATCACTGGGTCAAATGAAAGTTCAATTTTTAATTTTTTGAGGTAACACCATATTGTTTTCCATAGTGGCTGCACAAGTCTGCATTCCCACCAGCAGTGTACTAGAGTCCCCTTTTCTCCACACCCTTGCCAACACTTGTTTGATGATTTGTTGATGGTGGCCATTCTGACAGGTGTGGGGTGATACCTCATTGTTGTTTTAATTTGCATCTCTCTGATGATTAGTGATGTTGAGTATTTCTTCATATGTCTCTTAGACATTTGTACGTCCTGTTTGGAGAGGTGTCTATTTAGTTCCTCTGTGCATTTTTTCATTGGGTTCTTTATTTTTCTTTTGTTGAGTTGTATGAGCACTCTATATATATTGGAAATTAAACCCTTATCCGATATATCATTGACAATTATGCTCTGCCATACAGTGAGTTGCCTGTCCATTTTGATGATTGTGTCTTTTGCTGTGCAGAAGCTTTTTAGCTTGATGTAGTCTCGTGTGTTCATTTTTTCCTTTGTTGCTGTTGCCTTAGGTGATGTATCAGTAAAAATTCTGCTGCGTATGATGTCTGAAATTTTGATGCCTACATTTTCATCTAGGATTTTTATAAATTCATGAGTCACATTTAAGTCCTTTATCCATTTTGTGTTTATTCTAGTGTATGGTGTAAGTTAATGGTCTAGTTTCATTTTTTTGCTGAAAAAAAATGAAACTAGACCAATAGCTGTCCAATTTTCCCAACACCATTTATAAAAGAGGCTGTCTTTCCTCCACTGTATGCTCTTGCCACCTTTGTCAAATATTGAGCATATTGCTTTGGGTCCATTTCTGGGTTCTCTGTTCTGTTCCACTAACCTATATGTCTGTTCTCGTTCCAGTACCAGGCTGTTTTGATTACAATAGCTTTGTAGTATAACCTGAAATCTGATAATGTGATCCCTCCTACTTTGTTCATTTTCAACATTGCTGTGGCTACTCGAGGTTTTTATTTTTGGTTCCATATCAACTTTTGAAGTATTTGTTCCAGTTCTGTGATGATGTCATTGGTATATTGATGGGGATTGCATTGAATCTATAGATCGCTTTGGGTAGTTTGGACATTTTAATGATGTTAATTCTTCCAATCCCTGAACAAGGTATGTGCTTCCACTCTTTTATATCTTCCTCTTTCTTTTTACAATGACCTGTAGTTTTCTGCGAATAGGTCCTTTATTTCTTTGGTTAAGTTTATTCCTAGGTATCTTAAATTTTTTGCCGCGATGAAAAATGGGATAGTATTTTTAGTTTCTCTTTCTGTGAGTTCATCATTGGTGTATAAGAATGCCATCAATTTCTTGATGTTAATTTTGTATTCTGATACTTTGCAAAATTCATTTCATAAGTCTTGTAAACTTTTGATGGAGTCTTTGGAGTTTTCTATGGATAGTATCATGTCATCTGCGAATAATGACAGTTTCACTTCCTCCTTTCCATTTGGATCCCTTTTATTTTATCTTCCTGTCTGATTGCTGTGGCTAAGACTTCCAGTACTATGTTAAATAAGAGTGGCAAAAGTGGGCATCCTTGTCTTGTTCCTGTTCTTAAGGGAAATGCTTTTCATTTTTGCCCTTTGAGTATGATGTTGGCTGTAGGTCTTTTATATATGGCCTTTATTATATCAAGATATGATCCCTCTATTCCCACATTGCTGAGTGTTTTGATCAGAAATGGGTGCTAAATTTTGTCAAATGCTTTTTCAGCATCTATTGATATGATCATATTATTTTTATCATTCATTTTGTTTATGTGGTGTATCACATTTATTGATTTGCACATATTGTACCAGCCTTGCATCCCTGGGATGAATCCCACTTGGTCATAGTGAATAATTTTTTTGATGTATTGCTGGATTTGATTTGCTAGTATTTTGTTCAGGATTTTGGCATCTATGTTCATCAGGGATATTGATCTGTAGTTTTCTTTCTTTTCAGTGTCTTTTTCTGATTTGGGTATTAGAATTATGCTGTCCTCAAAAAACAAGTTTGGAAATCTTCCTTCTTCTTGAATTTTTTGAAATAGTTTGAGGAGAATGGGTATTAGTTCTTTTCAGAATATTTGGTAAAATTCCCCCGTGAAGCTGTCCAGGCCTGGGCTTTTGTTTCCTGGGAGAGTCTGATTACCTCTTCAATTTCTTTTGTTGTTATTGGTCTGTTCAAGTTTTCTATCTCTCCCCAGTTCAGTTTTGGGAGACTATGTGTTTCTAAAATTTCTCCATTTCACTTATATTGTCAAATTTGTTGCCGTGTAATTGTTCGTAATATCTTTTAACATTGCTTTGTATTTCTGTGGTGGCAGTTATTATTTCTTCTCTCTTATTTCCAATTTTCTGTATTTGGGTTCTCTCTCTTTGTTTCTTGGTTAATCTAGCTAATGGTCCATGAATCTTGTTTATCTTTTCAAAGAACCAGCTCTTTGTTTCATTGATCCTTTGAATTTTTTATTTTTATTTTTTATTTTTTTATTTTTTTGGTCTCCATGTCATTTATTTCTGCTCTGATCTTTAATATTTCCTTCCTTCTACTTGCTCTGGGGTTATCTTTTTGTTTGTTTTCTAGTTCTTTAAGTTGTGAGGTTAGATAGTCTGTTAGAAATTTTTCTTGCTTCTTGGGGTAGGCCTGTAGTGCTATGAACTTCCCTCTCAGAACTTCTTTCGCTGCATCCCATAGATTTTGTGTTGTTGTGTGTTCATTTTCATTGGTTTCCAGGAATTTTTTAATTTCATCCTTGATCTGTATGGTAACACACTCATTGATCAATAACATGCTATTTAGCCTCCATGTGTTCAAATGTCTTTGCATATTCTTGCTGCAACTGATTTCTAGTTTCATGCCATTGTGATCTGAGAAGATGCTTAATATGATTTCAATCTTCTTGAACTTGTAGAGACTTAGTTTCTGCCATAACATGTTGTCTATCTTTGGGAATATCCTGTGTGCACTTGAGAAGAATGTGAATTCCACGGTTTTGGGGTGTAATTCTCTGCAGATATCTATTAAATCCATTTGATCTAGTGCTTCATTTAGAGTCTGTGTTTCTTTGTTAATTTTTGTCTAGAAGATCTGTCCAGTGATGTTAGCAGAGTATGGAAGTCCCCTGTTATGATTGTATTGCTATTGATTTCTCCTTTTAAGTCCTCCAGAAGATTTTTAATATATTTTGGTGCTCCTATATTGGGTGCATATATGTTTATCAAGGTTATATTTTCCTGTTGGATAGATCCTTTCAATATTATGTAGTGGCCTTCTTTGTATCTAGATATGGCCTTCATTTTGAAATCTAATTTATAGGTTATGAGCATTACTACTTCAGCTTTTTTTTTCCTTTACGTTTGCTTGAAAGATTTTGTTCCATCCCTTCACTTTCAACCTATGTGAGACTTTTGTTGTGAGGTGGGTTTCTTATCCAGTCAGCTACTCTGTGTCTTTTTATCAGAGCATTCAAACCTTTCATATTTAAGGTGATAATTGATATGTACTTATTTATTGCCATTTTTGTTTAGTGTGGTTCTATTTTTCTTCCTATTTCTTCTACTAATTACAGCAGTCCTTTTAACATTTCTTGCAGTGATGGTTTGGTGCTAATGTATTCCCATAGCCTTTTTTTGTCTGGAAAGCTCTTTATTTGACCTATTTTGAATGATTGCCTTGCTGGATAGAGTAGTCTTGGATTCAGATCTTTGTTTTTCATGACCTTGATTACTTCATGCCACTC